ATTTGAAGGTCGCTTCTGTTGCTTTCATTCTAAAGGGTTCATAGAAGGTGACTTTTAGGAAGCAGATGAACCCAAAGTGCCCTCCATTCTAGATTTAAGGCTTCAGTGTTTCCCATCAACCTTCTTTGTGCTGAAAATATTCTTCCTTTCCGTCTCCCGTGATGTCTCGGAAGTATATTAATTAGGTAAAAAATAAATAAAGAGTATTTGAGTTTATACATGCCTGCTACAAAGACATGTTCAAATAAAATGTTCTGTGAAATTTTACCTTCATGGAGTTGAGGCCATGCATGGCTCCGTTAATAAAGTGCTTACTGTGTGAACATTAGGACCCGAGTTCAGATGGCCAGCACACACTCAGAAGGCCAGATGCATCAGTGTTCGTCTACAACGGCAGTGCTGAGAGTGTAAAGACAAGCAGATTCCTAGATCTCACAAGCCAGCGAGTGGAGCCAAATTAGTGAATGCCTGTTCGGAGAGAGATGCTGCCTCAAAAAATAAGGTGGAGTGTGATGGAGGAAGATACCCATTGTCTACCTCTAATCTTCATGTGCGTGAATATGCATATGCATATATACCAACATTCACTGTCCATACACAAACATGCACACATACATCACACACACACACACAATAAATTTTGCATTCATATTGGAAGATGAAGTTTCATTGAATGGTTAGAATTCATGAATTCTATCATAAAGATGATAATATCAATAAAACCATTTCTCTACTCACATAATCTTAGGGTTTTTTCCCAATATGTTCCAATTACAGACTCAACATAGTTGACTACAGAGGTGTAGGGAGAGATTGCTCTGCTCATAGCTAATTGAACCTCAGTTTATATTTTCAGACAGTCTTCTTCTAAAGTCAGTTACTGCTTTCTGGGTGACCAGATAACCCGCTGTGCACACCTCTGGTTCTCCGGAGCAGATGTCTCTAATTTGGCCAAATCACCACAGCTGATTCTAGCATGGAAAATAAGTGAAGGACATGTTTTCTTCTTCCAGGAAATAGCAACAAGTTGCCCTTATTGTCAGAAATAAGTCACACAGCTTATATCCTACATAGGAAGCAGGAATCTGCAGCTCATGAGTCAGCTGTTGAAGAGACGGCTCCTCCTGGGTGGTGTCCTTTAGAGTATGAGCACCATGCTCCCTTTTCATTTTGATCTACCCAGCCCTCTCTCCCCAGTGGAGGCACAAGGCCTGCTTGCCAGATGGATGTGCTGACAAATGCTTGTCAGGTAGATGGACTTCATGTTGGTCCTCTCTGAATCAAAGAGAACTGTGGGAGGCTGACAGAGATACCTGATTATGTTACTGTTAATGGTCATGTTCTTGAGCATCACAGATGAAACTGGCTTCTAATGAAAGACCCCCGAAGAGGTACTTTCGTAGAAGGAGACCCGCACCCAGGAATCAGCGAGACCACAGACTTGGATGCAAAACCGCAAGAGGTTTTATTAGAGACGCGGGTACCTGGGGCGACTTAGCTTCTGTGTGGCTAAGCGCCCCGAGCCAAGGGAAAGGGGTCCTTATATAGGGAAAAAGGCGCAAGCTAGGTGTAGGGATTCTATTGGATAATTCTAATGAGGCATTGTACAGAGCTATTCCCATTGGTCAATGTAAATGAGGCGCTATACAGGGTTATTCAAATGAGGTGAAGTATAGAGTTATTCAAATGAGGTGAAACACAGATTCTTTCAAATGAGGCGAAATACAGAATCATTTCTATTGGATGGTTCAAATGAGACACAGAGCCATTCCAGACCAGCATATTCTCAAGGTCTGGTGTTTGGTGCAACAGACTCAATTCCCTCCGCGTCCGGATAGCTGACCTTGGGACGGAGGGTGGAGGTGTGGGGGCGGGGCCCTGGGCCGGCCTAACTGGTGCTCTCGCCCTTGGGCCAACGCACCTGGTGCTCGCCCTTGGGCCGGCCCACCTGGTGCTCGTTGCTCGGCCCCAGCCCCGAGGCGCGGTGCCAGGCGG